TGTTTTTTTTATAGTGTGGCAAATTATAAGACATTACAAAAACTTTACACATAGTCAATAATACAATCAAATACCTTTTGTTAGTCAAAATATTTCAATTATATTAGTTAATAATCCTAATCAGTCGCTTTTACCACAAATCACATCTGGATCAAAATAAGTATTAGATAGTATTAGAGTGATTACAAGTGAGAAATTATAATGAAACAAAAATTGCCTAATCATATTTTTTTGAAATAACAATATTTAACTGTTGTTTCTTATAAATAAAATGTCCTCGACTATATTGTTACTTAAATTATAACGCAAATCATTTAATATGAATTTTAATGATGAAAAAAAACGCTCTACAGTAACTTGTGTGGCTGGGGTAGCTATAACTGTAATTGGCAAGCGATATAATTGCGGCTCGCTCAATTCTTTACTTTTCCAAAACTGTATAATGTTTTGTTTGGAAGGTAATCGCGGATGAGCAGAAAAATTCTCCAAAATAGCCCTTATATTTGCGCGAGTCTGGATATAGTGATCACGCTGAGAACATCTTTTTAATTGTTCGGTTTGAGATAGAATCGATTCCATTTCATCTACAACAACGGGAACAGCTTGAAATGTATCTTGATTATCACTTTCTGTTTGCATGATATCTGCCTCTACTTTTAATATTTGCAACCAAGTCTCATTAAGATGTCTAATGGCTAAAAGTTCTTCCTCGGCTGATAGCACGACCTGAAATCTAGGATCTAGATATAAAGCGCCAACAAAGGTAGAGTTATGCATAAGCTGCATTTGTCTTATTTTCATGTGACTGCAGATTAGTTGTGCTAGCGGTACCTGCACGTGCGATGTCTCCAAATAACATCTGGACCAGTGGTAGTAAAAGTCTCCAAGAGTTAATTGCTCTTCTTGTAATAGTTTGGTCAATACTTTAGCTGGTTTCAGTGCATTAATCAAGTCATGTAAAGCATCCCAGGTGGTTGGAGCGACAAATAATTCAATTAGTCTTTCTAACATGTCTAATGTTGAATGCCAACGCGTAGTTATGTCTAGAATAGGTTTATTTTTTTTTGCTATTTGAAGAATATTTTTCATTGTAGGGGTTCTAAGTTTCCGAACAATAGCACGAGCTTCTTCCACTATACATTTGGACTCATCTTCATTTATAGCATCGTTAACAGCAAGTTGCAAGGTGTGTGCTGCGCACCGTACCGAAGTTATACAATATGCATGCTCTGTATCATCCGAATCACTTCGCAGTGATATTTGTATGGGTTCCATCTCCATATCCTGGTTAAACTCTTCATCCGAGTCGGAGTCATTTAATTCATCGTTCAACAGACGGACCATTTTGACCATATTCCCACCATTGTCCGTCGTGATAGAGTAAATTTGTTCTATATTAATTTTAAACTTTCTCAGAATATATAGTAGTTTTTCTTTTAAATATTCTGCAGTGCTCCTGGCATGCAACTCTACAACACCTAAATGTTTTATATGTATAGAACCATCTACAATATATTGAGTATTCACTGCAAAGAATGATCGATCTAACCTAGTGGCGCTGTCAACTTTTATAGAAATCATTCGCCCTCTAATATCTGCAGCTATATCAGCTCTTTTCTTTTCTGCTATCTGCGAGACAAATTGCTTTATAGAATGAGAATTTAAAGATTGGGCTTCTCTCGAATTGATGGAAATCATAGAAATAATATTTCTAAAAGCCAAATCGTCAATCATTGAAAATGGTCTACCATGGACTGTTACCAAATTGACACATTGATTTTTTAAATAATTAATTTTATTGGTAGAAGGAGCAGTGACACCACCTGTGCTTGTACTGGCGGCCGCATCAGTAATATTATTTTCTTTATTTGTAACATCTTTCATCAAACGGTTCCGCTCAGTAACTATTGTGTATTCAGTGGGATGGTTGGATGATAAATGATACATAAGATTTGTTCCATGATCACCCTAAAAATAAATAATAACATGTTAATTAAATAGAATGTCTAGCGTAGCGTTTAGTCTAAGTTACTCCTTATAACATTAGCCATCTGCAAGTGAAAAGTCCCGTCAAAATTGGTCCAGTCATATCAGAGATAAGCGGGAACAGACAGACAGATAAAAGAATAAAAAATGTTTTTTAGCGTATATAATTTCATATGCAATATAGTAAAAATCTGTTAGTTTGAAATTACAAACAGATTTTATTAATTTGTACCTATAGATTAATAAATATTCCACAGCGTCCCAAAATTTTCTAGAAATATTTAAATAAAAAAAACGCGCTTAATTATAATTATAAAGTGCTTTTTATGTGTTATTAATACATAGTTTTCCGTAATGGTAAATATAAATTATAAAATGTTGTTAATATTATTTTATTTATTAATAATGCGAAAAATAGGTACATTGCATAATACAATGTAAAAAAGGTACTTATTATGCGAAAGATCCAACCAAAAGCGAGCAATGAGTTACTGTATTTTATTAGAAAATACACGATTTTTCATATGTCATTTTCAACGCTAGTAGGTGCCAGGTATTTTATCTGCGATAAATGTTTGGATGTGGGATAGGTATTAAGGAATAATATCGCAGGTAAAAAGTAGCATGTCTGTTACTCACTGACCGGTAAATATTGACTTCTTGAATATGTATTTTATAAAATAACCAGATACGAACTTACTTTTACTACGGCTGAGCAACCAAGCACTTGGCAGGTAGAAGAATTATTTTCCTTTGAAAATGAAAAGAACGCATAGACTGCATTTTTGCGTTTACGTCCCATAATTATAAATTCATACAAACTACTTAATTATAAAAAAATACGCTATCACAACTGTTATTACCGGGCCATCAGTGTTCACTGTGTGTTGACTAGCGAGCGGCCGACGATTCGCGACAAAAACCGGTTCTGATTGGTTCGCCGGCGCACACGCCCGTGCCTTGCTCACCCTTGCCGGTGCCTCACACCCTTCGCCCCACGTCCCGCAACGCTCAATACTATTTTTTCGGTACCGATATCGCATAAAGGTTAAATAACGGTATGGCCTTACCTTTATTTTATTAAGGTACACTTATTTAATACAGGTACCGTAACCGTATACCGTAACCGCTTTCAGTCCCTGATTTAAACCAACATATTAACATAACACAAGTGCGCACAGTACGAAGCCAAAATAACGTGTAAGATAGATAGATCACCAACGCGTACGCCACTGCTACTACCTGCACCCCCCCCCCCCCCTACCCGCGCGTACGTAGTTTCGAATTACTTGTCGCTAAGAGCGAATGAACACACAAACAGACAGGTTTTTTTATTTTATTTCATTTTATTCTCTAATCAGGATTTTCAAAATAGTCCTTTTGGAGCAATACTACTTGGGCATCACTGCACTAGACCAAACTGAATAAATTTTTTTTGGGACCAAATGGCAACTTCTTCACATAGAACAAAAATAATCACGTAATTCGGATCAGTAATATCGGAGTAATCAGTGTACATACATAAAAAAAACATAATGGCCGAATTGAGAACCTCCTCCTTTTTGAAGTTGGTTTAAAATCAAAATAACCGACTTTTGGTATTTTATTGATAAATACTAAAATTTGTAGATTTTTTCATTACCTTTTTGCCATTTTTTTTTTTGATACGGGTTGTGGTTTTCCCGAAAATCCCGTTTTCCTCCTTAAAAGGTCGTCCCCCACCCTTCCCGACCTCAATTGGCCCGTAATTTATTTTTCCTTTTTATATGTGTTTCCTTCCTTTTGGTGTGGATTTCCCCGTTCCAAATATTTTTCACTTTTTACGATTTTCAAAGGCACCCCGCCCTAGTCATCATCAAATCTCTCCGGTAAACTTACTTACTTCAGAGCTTTTATGATCAACATCTTACACGTAGTATATTGGTTAAGTATCAGTATTATTAGCTATTCCAATTTTAAATAAAAATTCTCATTCTACAAATAGATTGAGCAGTGACAAAAACTGTCGTGCCATTCCTCCTACAACCATTAAAGTAGTAAAAGCTTTTTGTCACTTAATTTATTACTTATCTTAATAACTTTTTTGTGTTGCGGATGGACACAGCATTTCAATTACGGTGACGAGCTCAAGGATACTCATCCATGATGGCACAGCTTAAAGTCGGAATTCGCGAGTGGCTTACAAAGCAACAAAAGTTTTTTGTAACGTGCGGATTTTCCGCGGTCACGAATGCTCGCGAATTCGAAACCGGTCCAACGACACCCGTGTTCAAATTTGAACTATTAACCGTGAGTGACTGCGAATGCCTTTCTGTTAAATTTCAGATAGATATTTGTATCCGATATCAAGAAGGTTTGATGAACATTATTTTGTCATTTGCTACTTATTGGTTGACTGGTACCAGTTTAATAATTTGATTCACTGACTTCAAATTCTTAAGTATCAATCCAACCACAGTACCACAGGAATGTTGTCGGTCAAAAAAGAGGTTTGACTCACGACGGGAGCCAAAAGTTATCCCACCGGTGTACTGCGGAAACGCACTTCGATCCATAGTTTTCATTTATCAAGACCGAAACGAAATCACGAGATAAGAAAGCAGCTTCCACCGGTAAGTAAGAATAACTTTCGTAAATTGTAATGATCACCATGACCATGGACCAATAATCCATAAATTATACAAACAGAATATCGCTGGAAGTTGAAACCAGTTATTATGATTATACAGAATTGTAGTTCTATAACTATTATCTCAAGTCAGGGTCATGACATCAGACATTAAGTAAATCATGAACGTCGACCGTCGTATTTTTAATTACATAGGCGTCAAACACCCACGGGCGTCTGCTTCGAAGTTAAGCTGCTATTAGTGATCAGGTATAACCCATTAATTACTTTGTGGCATTATCAGACACATCCAATCGTAAAGATAGCATATTAGGATAGCGACACGAGGTTGTAGTAAACAGTTGAAATTAACGGTGGCTCCATTGGGCGATTCTATGGAGTTGGAGGGAAGCGTCAGCGACTGCGGCACTCGCCGCACTTCACGTCACGAGGCACGCTCGTTTGCCGCCAGTTCCCCGTAGACTCCGCACTGCGGCGGTCCTGTTCAACTTGCCTTATCGCTCTCATAATTTTCCAGACATCGGTACAACCACCAGTGCCGTGATAACCGTGTATTTCTTCGGATACTGACAATAAAGTGCCCCCTGGAAACCAGTTACAGTGTGTGCACGTTGGAAAATTCACCGAATTTTGTGTATTCATTGGCGACTCTGATTGTTGTTATTGACGACAATTGTAAATTCTTTTGAACAGGTAAGGATGAAATGAGATGATGGAAAATTATTTATTTCGGTACACACCATAAATTTGTTTTCTGGTTATTCATGAAATTTCTAAATTTATTTCTAATTGCATATGATGCATAGGAGCAGGGATAACGAACGTAGGTGTAAGTGTATTATTTAGTTTTACAAGTATTACAAATAAAATCAATAAAAGCTAATATTATTGCTTGTTCCCAAGCAATTTATAAGTCAAATCTATTAAAGATGAGAAGAAATACAAATTGACCTTTTAAGTTTAGATCAAGAAGATTCATTATAATTATTGTAATCCGCTAAGACCTTCCCAGTATACGATTTGCTTTCTAATTTTTTTGATTTAAAATAATCTTAAAGTGTATTTTTACTAATTCAGCGAATATTATATTTACCTTATTATTACAATTCTATTCTACAATTCACTTAAGGTTAAGTATTCCAGTAAATTAAGACTATACTATCACGGAATATATAATATTATATGTTACGGACTTGCATACACATCGTAATGTATTATGAAAATGTAATTTCAATTAAAGAATAAATTAAATTTTTGGAAAGTTTACTGAAATTTACGCAAATGAGTACCTAAATGAAGTTTCGGATATTCTTTTTCGTATTCGTGGTGCAGCAATGCGAATCTGTAGTTCTTGGTAATACTGCAGCCTCCCAATTCTGGCAAAAACAAAACGTTGATGTAAACAGAATTGTGTTTCGAAATTATCCAAAATGTAGGTTGGATGTTCAGTTGAAAACCTCTTAGTAAAAATCAATAGGGTGGCAACACTTGTAAAATTGAGAATAATGGCGAAATAATATTTTTCAATGATAAATTGCAATTCAGTTTAGTGATAAAGCATATCAGTAACAGGAACTGCTGCATTAGACCAAAGGACCTCCTAACACGTTTCACGTAAACCGGTTCACCTGATGCCCGATGTATCGACGAAGAGTCTTATGCAACGCAAATAAATACCTAGACTGATATTAAAAACAAGACCGCACCTCATTCTTAGACTGAAGAGAATATTAATAAATTCCGTACCTGACCAGCGATGAAGTCATGCAAATTCTAATAAATTAAATGCTTTATGCAATTTGGTACTCATGAGGTAACAACATAAATGGCATTATTGTGTACGTTCATGTAACATTTGAGCATAGTAATTTATATTCATCTCAAATGTTCCACTGCATAATAAATCAACATTAAATTAACCTTCACGAAAATGTCGGACGAACATAGTGCAGTCACAGACCAATTTTAAATTGTTTATTCAGTCTAGTTTAGGCAATCAAAAGTTGTAAAAATTGCACAGACTTGTATAGATTTGTATGGATAGATTTTAATTGATATTTATTTATTTTTATTAATAAGTAGTTAAATAAGCAACAACCAGACTAGGCGGACTTAACACAGCAGACAATAGAAATTATCTATCCTATGAATATTCTGTGTGCAAGAATCCGTGAAAACAGCTGCCGAGTCGCGTAAAGTGGCGTTTTTGTCGCTGGGTGTTGCAGACGGCAGCTGCACCTCCACGTGCCCTAACACAATGCCCGATAAGTTTCAATGGGCGCCAAAATAAATTGTATTGACATACTAAAAGATATTGTAGAATTCGGCAATTTCCTGAATAAACTTAAGCAAACACAGCTTTTTTTCTTAGAATTTTTACAAAGCCCTAATACAGAATTAACAGAATACAATCAGTTGTAGTCCAATCATGAATATTTTAAAACGTGACAAATGAAAGGAAAAAAGTCAAGAAAAATAAAACTAGTGAATCCGTCATTAAATTTTTTATTACTAGGTAGGTTAGTAATGTTTGTTATTATAACACTTTTGGAAATAAAACGAAGGTTAGACGGCGAACTGTTGCACGTCTAGTGAACCCTTGTTGGTGGACGACCGAGTGCGCCCCGAGGCCAGAACACCGACTGTTTGGCGTCGTTCTATCGATTTGCACCACGAATCGACGTCATCAGACCGATTGTTCAGTTAAATGAGATACCGATTTGTCAAAGTAAATTGCAATTGAGAGAGTTAAGCTCAAGCCACTTCAAACTCGTCTTTAATAGACAATTTAAAAAATATTAGACGAGTAAAGTAACTCTGACAAAACAAAATTAACAAATACAAGCTGATGGATTTTAATATTCCTACAATGGATTTTAATATTCCTACAATGGGTTTCGGATTAAGAAATTTTGGATAAAGTTAACACCGATTAACTCTTGCATAGTAGATTTTCGTGAAGCCTATTGATTAAAAAGCTATAATTGATTTGCTCTTGCAATACGTAATTGCGTAGGAAGATATTTAAAGGTGTACGAATAGTACTAGGCTAATCAGATAGCATTACCATGGACGGAGAGGAGTGCAGCGGCTAAATTGCCCGGCTGACAGTTAGTTGCTCATTTCCGTTCGGCGATCAGCAGCTACAGCTTGTTACACGCCGAGTTGCACCAAGATATAATTTACACAATAGTTTGTCTTAGGGTACACTGAACTCTTGTGTAATAACGAATCGTTTGTTTCACTTTTGATTAACATTACCGAATCATGAACGGCGTTTATGTAAACAAATGAAATACTTCTTTATTCCGATAATAAGGAGTTGTGCTTGAAACACTTCAATATATTTGTCCAGATTTTATTAGTTCTTTAATTAGACTCGTTGCAAAGTACTTCAGTTCGACATCAAAGCTTAACTTTGTTCCGTTCAACGTTAAATTTATTAGGCAGAAAATTTTAATTTCTCTCCTATCGTACCATGTTACGCCATTCCCACCCCCTGTTATGAAATTTACACGCGTATAAATCCGAGAACACCCCAACTCGGCTGGCCTACTTAGACACGGAGACATTTCGCGAAAATTTAAGTAGGCGCGATGTCGGCTGGAAAATTGCATCTATTTTCAGGGCGGGGACCTGTAACCCGAAACATTATCAGTCAAATTGCTATAATAAGGCTACGCAAAGGTTACGATAAAATATTTTTTGACAATACAGGCTTACTCGAGCGTTTTAAAAATTCTGAATCAGATTAAATATTTATTTACTCCCATTTTCCATTTCAGTTTTAATTGCGTTTTATCGCAAAAGCACAAAAAGTTCTTTAATTTTCGATAAAGTTATAAAATCACCAAAAATTATTTTGTTTAATTATTTCTTTTGTGCACTATCCCGACAGATTGTTGACTAGTGCTATACGTATGTTTAAAAGTAATTCCCACTATGACGAAAAAGAGAATTTAAGTGCAGTTATCCAAGCGAACTCGCGATTCAAAAGTAAACCAAAACAGACTTTTAGGTTTGCTTTAACTCATCCTCATAATAAAATATTCAGATAAACATAAAATAAGGTCTAGAAAAGACTGGGCCTTAACGCGATGTTCACTGTTATTGTTTGGCAATAAAGACACATTAGAAATTCGCGTTTCACTGAAACATTATTTCATAAATAATGTTAAGTCATCTGCCATGACCTCATCGTAGGTCTAGGCAAACATTGTATACCCAATCTTCACGGAAATGGGGTCGCGTCCCTCAGCTTGGCCAGAAACGACGAAAGCTTTTCGTAATTAAGCCTTGCCCGAAACATCCTACTGTCATAATATTGTAATATTTGCGACAAATCTACATCATGCTATCACATTTCATAGAACACTCTACAAATTGAGTAACTTTATGTTTTTGACAGTCAAGTCACGCATGTCGGGAATTTCAACTGATAAAGTAATTAATTCACACTATATGTGTCAGCAAGTGGACATAACAATCGGTGAGGTCACGACACTAACGAAGAGCTTAGGGTCTAGTCTGGCAGAAGTAGTTGATAAGGGGCTACACGGAGGGCGATTCTCGTATTCGTATGCAAGCCACACGGTTGGCGCGAGCGATCGATACGCGCCCGCGCGGCTACGACGCCACCCTCGCGAGCTCAAGTCTGCTATAACAAACACACTGAACTTTATTGAATTCTTAACAGAGACTTCAGTTTTGTTACAAATATGTACGTACACATGTCTGACAGCATTTTTCTGCCTTATTTGTTTTCGATTAGTTTAATAATGTGCTGAGACAATAAATGCATTAATGCGCCACAAGGAAGCTGGGAAAAGTCTTTATTATTTTATTTTGATCACTAAGGCTATGGTCACTCTAACCATAGCCTTAGTGACCGAAAAGCCTCCTTGGTGCTAAAAACTAAGTTACTCGCTTAGAGACTAATTCTTGTGAATAGACGGAGATGACTACACTGCAAGTGACGCGGCTAGGTAAGCTGTGGTGTGGCTTTAGTCTAACTATCTTATTAGTGTGATAATTATGATATAATTCATTATGCAATTAGATGGATGGATGGATGGATGCAACTTGGAGATAGGGAGACAGAGATTTAACGAATCTTCTCAGAATATCTAGACTAAAACAGTAATAGCGGATATCGTAATTAGGAGAATGATGAAGGAAACGGAAGCTCTAATAAGCGTACCTAAATAACAGTATCAATTGACTAACCTAGCGTGTTATTACGAACGAATCGAACGTACATTTTAGGAAGATGACATCATCACTGGCGACGACCAACAGCAAGAAAAAAAACTGCGACTGGAGTAACCGAAGCGACACGTTGACGCTCTGTTGGTGACCGCATGGCCCTGATCTTCACGAAATCGACTTAAACGATGACCTCTTGTAACCCATACACATGTTCGTCATCTTAGAAGATAAAAGCATGCACAAACATTGCTAACAAAATTTTATCTAAGTATCCACGTGAAAAAATTATACATAAACCAACTTTTTATAAAAAATCTGGTGAAGTTGCGCATTTGTTATGATATCCGAAAAGTAGTTGAATATAATTTATCCTAAATTTCGCAGCTTCTATGGCAATGGTCGAACAGCCTCATCCCTCTTGCCACTGACTGTTTACTAATAGCTTAATGCACTTCCTACATGGCCTGACGAATATTAGGGGGAGC